AAAAATCATTGAAAGTTCTCTTCGAAAATCGTAAGTGGAAGCTTCGAAAAAGGAAGATATAGAATACTGATTAAACTATGAGTAATTGAAATTTGTAATTAATTAAAGAACCACTAAATTTTATTAAGACATTATTACTTCATGACAAACAAAGAGGATATGACCTTCTTTCTTCTTTTAAGTTGACGATTATAATGAAACAGCAGTTAAATGAACAACATAAATTAGACATTTGTATTTTATAGATTTAATAATTAAAATTCTACGTTCTTACAAAAACGCATTATTTTCATTTTAAGATTTAAAATTTTTCCAAAAATTTTTTCATTTCATTTACTTTGTAGAAAAATAAAATTTATTTGTGAAATGCTTATTTGTGCAAATTTTCCAAGGAAATAAAGAAAAATTGGTATTGCCAAGGTATGGATTTATTAATTAGTAAACAAATTTCGATGTGATTAATTACCTTGGAAATTTTTCCTAATATTCATAAAATTCTTCGAAACAAGGATTTCTTTGGTTTTACTGTTCGTTTTCCCTAACAGTGTTCGTTCGTAACAAAACAATTATATAATATTTTCTTGAAATTGAATTTAATATGAAAATATGATAAGATGGCGATGAAAGCACAATAAGCTAGATAATTTAGTTAGCTTTATATTTTTGAAAATTTTCATGTACCCAATAGAATTAAGAAATAAAATCAAAAATTTGTTTCCAACACTGAAGAAATATGTTTTCCCACAGGAACATTACTGATGTCTTGAATTTTAAGAAGAAATTTCGCAAACTTCAGAAACTTAATTGTCGTGCACTACTTAAAATTAAAAAAAAGTAATAAGGAAACGGTAACTATATATTTAAATCATGGAATATATGTAGGTACATAGCTGCTAATTATTCTTCAGAAGAATATTTTGTTAAAACATTTGTCACGAAACCACAATTTGAAATTTGCACGTATGCACGTATTTAAACGATTATAATTATGTATGTGCGTGTGATTATTTCAAAATATGTACATATATATGCAAGTATTCATTAGTGTTTTCATATTTTTGAAGCACAAAAATCAAAATGCAATTTCATAAATTAAAATTTAAAATCAGTAGTGACTTGACTAGGTAGGTAGTGTAGTTGTAAGGTGTATAGTTCTTCCAAAATTTTATTTATTTTGACAAAATATGTTTAATAATAAAATTCTTATAATAATTCTAATTAAAATTAAAAATTACTTTCATGTAAAAATTGTAAGGTTTTCAGTTAAAATATTAAATATGCTTTAAAGAAACTTAATAAGAGATTATTGCCTTTATGAAATACAATAATCTTTTACTAAAATATCAAAACTTATTCTAATTGTTCTAAAAATATAATTATAAGACTTTTAGTTAAGAAACTTTAAATTAATATAAAATAATTAATTCCTACAAAATAAATGGTTGTTAAATTTGAAAGCTTGTAAATATTCTCAACGTATTCATGAATTCTTTTATGAAACTTCGTTATTCCTTCCATTAGTATATAATATGTACATATTATGCATTTTACTACTTTTACTAATCTTCGTATACTTTTATTTAAACACACATTAGGAATAAGATTGAAAATTTTTTCAAACTTAAATACAATAGAGTCTCGATAAGAAGACAGCTTAAGGGTGGAAGCAAAATTGTTACCGTTATATGAATCATAGTTGATCCATATTGTATAGAATAAAGCAATTTTGTTTCACAAATATAATAAGGGTGATTCACCGAAAAATTATGAGCTTTTTACCACCAGGTATAGAGGGTCGAAAATAAGTAAAATTTTTGTTCGGAACACTTTAAAAAAAAATTTGGCGAAATTTTAACAAATTTAAGTAGAGGGTTATTTGGTTTAATATGTTTTTTCGGAAATACATTGATATCTACATTTATTATTCATAGAATTGTAGTGGAATTTTTTTACAAATTATTTATAGAAGAATTAAATTTATTGCTTCTTATAGAAGAATTAATTTTCTACTTTTAATAACAATTATTCTACTTAAAATTTTGGAAACCCCAGAAGTATAAATTTAATCAATGATTTTACTTCTTCTCTTTTTTTGCAGTATATACCAAAAATTTTATCGGATAACAAGAAAATCACAATTTAATAAACATACACTGCACTCTTGAACACTTCACTCTTCTACACTTCACTCTTGTACACTGCACCCTTCTACACTTCTCTCTTGTACATATTATTTTAATTGAATCAAAAAGGATATGGAAAATTTTTATTTACTTTTATTGTATTTAACAAAAACAAAAAAAAAATATTTTTATGCTAACTTTTATAAATTTCGTAATATGACAATCCACTTGAGAAATCTACTGTATTTACGTACCCCACTTTGTGAGCAAGTACTTCAAAATAAAAATAAAAAAAAATCATAAAAATTTTTCGAATGAAATTCAATACCGTCAATAACATTGAAAAATTTTTCATGAAAACTTTTCAAGATATTTGTATTTCATTAAAAATTAATCAACACAGCATGATATTTATAACGTTAAAAATTCAATTTTTGATCTTCAAATATAATAATTTCAGGGAAAATGTCAAATCGAATTCAATCAATATAATATGATTTTTGTTTTGCCTTTTTTTTTTGTGTTCTTCTTTTTCATTATAATTTTATAAATGTCAAGCATCCCTTAGTTTCCTAACTATGCTATGTATATCTATATAATATTCATATTACTTGTTATATACTTGTTATTTATAGTAGTACAATAGATACACCTAAAAAAAAAAAAACCTAAATGCCTTTCAACCGCATATTTAATTTAAATAAATTAATAAACTGCCTACTGTAGTATACAATGTCATTTTGATACAAAACAAAAGAAAAAAAAAGCAATAACTCTTCAGCTAAAAGAGCACCTGTCAAGTGTTTGTTAAAAACAAAAAAACAGAATGAGACTTAAATTACATTATTTATTTGAACTGGACAACTCTGGGATATGTCACAAAACGTAATGGAATTAAGTATAATATTTGAAAAAAAACCCATAAGAAAAGAAATTACCCTAAAAAAGAGACTTAGTTGTCTTTACTCTAATTCTAGTTATAAATTGTAAGTGCCGAATTTTAGGTATTTTAATTAAAATTTGTAGGATAACAAATATTGCATGAGACATAAACATCAATTGATAACACTTTATAATCCACGAGGTCAAAAATTTTTCACTTATTCGATATAATTTTGCTATAAATTCTTTGATGATTTCATACTCATGCTCTTAGCTAAAAAATAATATTTGAGAGGAGAGAGCGAACAATAATATTCATTTTTGGTTATTTTTCAAAAATTGTAGAACGTGCAAAAATAATTTCAGCAACTGAAAATTTTTCTTTATAGTTCAATTGTATTTATGATATAATAACCAATAATAATAAATTAACCCATTTGATCCTGTTGTATTCTTTTAATTACAAACTCTATTTTCTAATGCTTTGATTTCTATTTATGGTTCTATTAAAAAATTTCATATACTAGGGTATTTAACGAAAAGCAATAACTGAACATAAATGAGTTAAAATTGAATAGCCTGTAGTCCTTCAATTCATGGTTGTCACAAGGAATGAAGTTGATTTTAACTGTATAGTTAATAATGTAGTACAAACAATTACTATGTGTTTAAAAATTTTTAATATCGTAACTTTCTTGGTTGTGTAACCGTCAGTTCTCTTAAGGTATTATAAATGGTAGACTATTACTAATATATCTGAAAAATTTTACGGTTAAAAATAAAATTCTGAAAGTAGGTAGATTTTTTTATTTAACCAAAAAAAAAAAAAAAAGCTTTTGTTTCTTTGAGTAAGTTGTAGGGAAAAAGATGTAGATGGCTAATTTCATTATGGATCCATTTTCAAGTTACAATCAATTTACATCAGTTTTTCTTTATCATTTTCGGTTCTTCTTTTTTTCCTCCCTTAATTTTCATTTTCGAAATTTAAACAAAAAGAAAATTATTTTTCCAAGGACATGTAAAAATTATTCTAATATAATATGAAAATATATTGTATATAAAGTGTTCTACTTATTTATATCAATGTATATATATGTGTATTACAAAATTTACATATTTATGTACACTTTTCTCTTTGTCATTTACTTGTATTTTTGCATAAATAAATATCTTTTATTCTTTCATACAAAAAATACATTATATTAAATCAATATTATGGAAACGAGTATAAAATTCTCAAATCATAAAAATCTATTATACAACGAGAGATAAGAAAAAATTTAGAAGAGAGATAAATTTGAGAAAGAGATATAAGAAGACAATCAATGAAAGTAAGTGTGTATAAGAGAAATACTAAGAAAAAGAGAAAAAAAATATATTAAATTTTATAAAATACGATTGTAATATTTTCGCTCTACTGTTACATATGTTGGACACAGAGGTTGGATACGATTTTCAGTATCCCCGCTCAACAATTTAGAGAAAATGTGTTTTGAAAAAAATTGTGTTAATGCGTAAAATATAAAAAATAGAGTAATGGGATATATGAGTATAAAAAGTTAAGAAAATAATGCCAACACTTAAAATATAATTTTATACAGAATTCTTTCAACTTGTTGTGACATTAAATTAAACCAAATTGTTTGAAATTCTACTTCATTAAAAACAAAATATGACATTTCTACCAACAAATTCAAAAAATGATGTATTTGATCACTGAAATTTTAAGAAAAAGCGAACCTTAATTTTAGGTTTCATGTAAGATTCAGCCATCTATCGGAATAAATGCACAAATACTACTTTGAAATCATATTTTCTCGCTCTATTATCAACAGATTGGGGATTGGAGAATGTGTATTTCAGAGTTGACTTACAACTCAAATAACAGTTTCGTACACTCACAGCAAAACAAACCTCACCAACATAACATATTAGATTTAGATTAGATTTATATATTAAGAGAAGACAAAAAAAAATAAAAAAAAATTTACTTACCTTAAATATTTAATATCGGCATGTGGTATTTCTGGTGCCGGTTTAAAATCATTATCCCGAAAGCATGATAAATCACCAGTTTCATTTTCATCAATATCTTTTTCAATTGATGTGATTTCCATTAATTTTTCAACAGAATGTTGACTTGTAATAAAATCTTCTTGACTCGTTATACCATCTATATTATTATTGTGATCACTGTTATAAGTAACAATTTTCCTATTATCATCTTTATTCTTGTTGTTATTATATTTATTGTAGTTGACATCGCTACTGTTATTATTCTTATCATTATTTTTTCTATTGATCTTTTCATTCATATTGAATCGATTCAATAGAATCGATTCATTTAGATTTTCTTCTTTCTCTTTTTTATGATTTAAATTCTTTTTCTTTTTATGTTGATGTTGTTTTTGTTTTCTTTCATATATTCTTCTGGATGTTGTATCTTCTTTAATTTTAAATTCATTTTCATTTTGTTGTTGTAATTTTTGATTTTTTTCTTTCATCATCATAAGTTGCTCCTCTTGAGATTGAATTGAATAATGATTCAATGTTGATACAATACTTTGGTTAATATTTTCTAAAGATTTTCTATCATGGTTTTCATGTTGTGTTTGTTTGTTATTCAATCGTTTTCGTTGATTTTTCAATGAATTATTTTCAATCTCTGCATTATTATCTTCATTATTATCAATATCATCATCATTATCATTTTCTTCCTTATTTTCATCATCAATATCATCATCAATATCATCATCTATATTAATAGATTCTTTAGATGATTTTATATTGCTATTAACACTAGTGTCATCGTCATTTCCACCATCAAGGAAATAATTTTTATCAATATAAGCGTTATTATTGTTATTATTATTATTATTAGAGACGGTGTCATCATCGTCATCATCATCATCATCAAGATTAAGAATTCTTTTATAATTTGATTTTGTTAGTAAAAAACTGGGTTTTGATGAAAGTTGAATTGGATTATCTGTAAAAATTAACATTAGTGGCATATGACGCAAAAAAAATATGGGTTATACATTATAATAAGTACATACAAACATATATTAACAATATGGATTTAGGTATAATAAAAGTTTTAAATTTTAAAAAACATTATAATCTTCTCATAGGTTATAGAGTGAAAGGATCAAAATAAAAATTTTTATTAAATATTTTATTAATAGAAAATAATGTTGGAAATTGCTTCAAATGACTTTTTTAAACCAAGAGTTTTTTAATAATGCAAAATCATAAATTTCAATATTTTCGACTAAATTAGTTTCCGACAAAAACACTTTGAAATAGTATTGCTTGCGATCATCATTTTCGAACAGTATTCATACTTATGCCTCCTATCTTTTTGTATTTCCACATCCAGATTGAGAGTTAATAAAGACTTGAAGTTACTTCTTCGGCCGTGTCACGAATGAAGTTAATATACAAGTTAAGCCGAAAACCTTTCAAAATTATAAAGACTAGATTTGGAAGTCTTTTAATCTATTTAATTAAATTTTATTGTCTCGAATCTCTTGTATTATAAGCCAATAAATTTCATATACGTCATGATTCTGCTACAAAAATATTATCAGTCTTGTAACCTATACTTACATCTAATTTTAGTTCATATGTCAAGAATATTATAATTTTATGAATATGAGTGGAAAATTTTTATATCCTTTTTGAATCCTTTTTTTTTTTGCTTTTATATTATTCAAGAGTAAAATAACTATACAAGATGTCTTTTTACAATGTCTTTAATGGCATATTCATTGTGAATTTTCTAAATTTTTTTTTGTTTTTTTTTTGTTTTTGAGAACTGTTGTACTTTTCGTAACTTCGATAGTCATTTAAGTTTCTCTGTTTTTTGTCATATTTAAGGTTTTGCTATAAGCATGCAAAGATTTAAGCATATTGAAGTTGAAAAGACCAAAAATCAAGATAAAATGATAAAATGAAAGCAAAAATGTATATTAAAGTGATAGAACACGTCTAGCTGTTAGACTTTTATTACCACTAAAGCATGGGTTAAAAATGAAATATTTTCATTGAACGTATGTTATAAAAACCATACTAGCGGGTTGAAGATACTTATGTGTATCTATATGTATACCGCAAGCAAAGTATTATAATGCAAGAGTATTACATACTTTGTACATATGGTTATTATTATAATATTATTAAATTGTGTGCTTCTATATGTGAATTTCTGTGATAAATATATGAAAGTACTGTAAAATTTTAACATGACAAACTCTTGTTAAAAAAATTTTTAAAAACTACTTTTCATAAATCAAAACTTCAAAGTTGTAAATGTGTTACAAAGAATTATGGAAATATGTGAAAAATCTTTTAGAATCCTTAGTTTCTTAGTTGAGCTTACATTGTTTTAAATTGTATTTTCCGTACAAAAAAGAATACAATACCAATATGCATACATAATGTTATACATTTTTATTTATGCAATATTTCTATATAAAAAATTGTTAATTCGGAGAAAATTTTACCATTATATTGTATCGTAACATAAATAAATATTGATTATTGCAGGATGTGGAAGCTTAGAATTAGAACGTTTTAAATTAATTATTTTATGAAAGTTTCTATACAAATTACTTTTATTATAAAGTCAGCAAATGGATTTTTTCAGAAATATTAACAAGGAATTTAATTAATATTAAAAATTTAGCAAAAAGTCCAAATGAAAATTGGATGACAAGATAGAATATTCAAATGACATGCGAAATTCAAGATCCAAGCTGAAAATTCCAAGGTAAAATTTTTGTTTGGAACAATATAGGTATTAAATCGGAACCGTTCCTAAAATATTTAAGGAATGTTTTGCAAAAATTTTAATTTTTCAAATTTTTTTTACTTAAATTTTAACTTTAATTTCAATTGCACTATTAATTCTGAGTCTGAAGTACTCGTAATACTATATTCAAAGGTCGAATTAAGAGTTTGAAATAAGTTAGGTTGAGGAGGCTCCCCAAAGGGTACACTTAGACCATTTAAGTCCGTAGTGGTACCGCCGGTTCCTTGCTTTTCGCCACAATTTAAAGCAACCCTTGTTTCTTTAAAAGCGTTCAAGATCCCTAGAATTTTTATTCGCTACATCCAAAGCCCGCTGAAAAAAGCCGGTATTGTGCCATCCGTCTGAAATCTATTTAGAACTGCTATTATTGCGGCAATATCCTCTCGTTGGAAAGATATTACATCCATTGTACGACGCAAATCTAAATTTGATTAAACAATTACGTTTAAGACAGCATTAAGTCTCTATTGAATTCTCAATTGAAAATATATTTGAATTGCAGCAGTTGTATATAGTCAAGCGAATCAATTGTAAAACATCTCAATCATAGCGTAATTGATTGTTTTTTTTTCAGCAATCGCAAAAGAGATACCATTGCCATAAACTTATGGCAATGGTATCTCTTTTGGGGTTTACTACAGTGACGTACTATATATAAAATGTTTTAAAATGTTTCATCCTATTTAAAGTGATTTAAAACACTCGGATATAACCAGAACTTTATCACTTTTGGTTTAAAATCTCATAATCTCAAATGAATTAACTGCCATCGTGTTCATATAACATTTCCAAATAGCCACTAAAACATGGTGTTACAAATAATTTCATATTGAAACTTCTGTCAGTAAAAAATTCTATAATCTATTTAATATACTAAGAGGCGGAGACCAAAAAATTTCAAATTATAATTTAATATTTATGTTATTTTTTTAACACGCGAACAAAAAAATTCGTTTAAAAAATAATTTTCAAAGTTTTTTTTTTAAATTAAATCTTCCCTTTTTTTTTAATTAAATTAAATGGCATAAGTTCACCGTTTTATTGCAAAAAATACAGGGATAAAAATTTTTTCTCCCTAAATATACCATATAGAGAGTAAATATAAGAGTGGGACAAAATTTTAAATGTCACTCCCTACTTTTAAATTATTTACACACTCGTTTTAGAACGCAATTTCTTGAAAGAAACTTTTTCTTTAACTTTGTGTTAAAATATCTTCTTGATCTTTTTGATAAAAAATTTCAATGATCTAAATTAAATTAGAAGATTTTTTATGTGAAAGTCTCTATAATTTAAAAGAAAAAATAGGGAGAGCTAAATTATATATATAGAGACTATAATACGAATCTTTATTATTTTCATTAGATCTTTGATAAGGTATGGCCGAAAAAAGAATATTTTTCATGTGCGGTTGTACAAAGTAGAGAGAAACAGAAAATTTGTATTTTATATAATATTGGTTTTCAACAAAATGTAATCAATTTTTTCATTTTGTTTTCTTTTCCTATGGAAATCTCTCAAGTGGGAAAATTTTTATACTATACGTATAAAACACAAAAATATTATTTTCTTTTCCTTAATTTTTTTTGTTTAAACTTATGGTGTAAAAGGCGAACCATTTTTTAATAAAAAAAATATAGGTAAAATGTATAGGTAGATACTAGAACTGTTTATGTATACCAACCGCTTTTATGTACATTCCTTTGTACATAATCTAAATTTAATTCTATTTGTGTTGGAAAAATTTCATTTTGAATAAAAAGGTGAAAAAGAGGTGAGGAAAATATCATCCCTTGAGGAAAATTCAAATTCTTTCGAATATTTGAACAGTACAGGTATTGCTATTTTGTAATCGAAGGAAAAAAAAAGAAAAAAAAATATGAAAAGAAGGTGAATTTTTTTCTAGGGAAAAAATATTTCAGTTTCTTATTTCTTTTATTTCAGTTCCAATTTCCATTTTCTACTCACATTTCATATAAACGTGAAGCTGTAAGATCAAGTATAAGTACAGTTTTTCTGGTTGTATAACAGAAATGTTTACTCTTTATAACATTCAAATTGGGTCAAATATACGAAAACGGCAGTTTTTGTTTTTGGAATATACATAAGAAATTCATTTGTTCTTGAACGAGCGGGTAAAAGATAAAATCAACTTTATTAAATGGAACATGTGAACTATCACACTTGCTTTAAAATTGCCTAACAAATATATGTACGTATGTATGTAGACTGTAGACTCTATAAATATGAATTTCGTATTTTCATAGAATAAAATCAAAAATTTACTAAACTAAATAAAATCAAAATCGATAAAATTACTTTTCACTCTTTCGGGTACACAAATCTGAGGTAAATTATAGGTGCAAATTTTTAGATAGAATAGTTATAAATTTCAATTTGACTTTTTTAAAATCTGAAATCGGATACATTTTCCCTTTAACTATATGGTAGCTTTTCAATCTTTTTGATTGTAGAATGAAAAAATTTTGAAAATTATATTGCATAGATTTAGGCATTTTTGTTAAGAAGATTTCAGGAAAATTAATGTATGCAAATTAAAACAAAATGGGATTGTGTTTAAGTGCAAATTGAACATTATTTTGCTCTCAACAATTGAATACTATTGACTTTAGTAAATAATCGTCTTCGTAAAAACAGGTTTTTGATTTAGTTTATTTTTGTTTTTATCTCAGTTCGCTCCTAGGAGGAGCATAGGGTTGATACATGGTATTGTACCAGTTTCTTGGGTCATTCAATTTACTAGGTAGGTGACGAGTTTACCGAGATTTAGTTTATTTAGCTTATGTAATTTTTACATAAAACGTCGAGTTTAAAACCGAATAAGCCCTTTAATTAATGTCTCGAATAAGCCCTTTAATTTTTCAGCTTTCAATCGCATATTAATAATTTTTAATCGTTTAATAATTATGGAAGCTATAGCCATTTAAATCGATGCACCCTTTTGTCGAAACCAAAAATTTTAAACTAGGATTTTGGAGATTAAATATTCATTTACGGGCAACAACGGGTTTTTTCATAAAATTGTCCCATTTTTTTTGCCCTTAAGAGATTATACCATGTTAAAGATTTACCCTGTACAACAATACATTTTGTTCCAAAAACCAGTTCTCCGGACTTAGGTCTAAGGCCTATGATAAATTAAGATCCTTTTATTTAAAAATAGGAAATTTACTAGATAAGTAGCATATCAAATTTTGATTTTGGTCCAGAAATTGCGTAATTGCATATAATTCGTAAGCTATTCAATATCGCTGGCGTTTCATTTACATTAAAATAATTGCTAGTAGTTGAGTAGAGCTTGGATATTTGCTATTATCACCTACAACGCGATTACATAAATATTATTTACAACATAAAAACGGAATTAATTATATGAATAATTTTTGCAGTAAGTTTTTATCTCATTTGTTGCATTTGCTGAGCCACAACTGCAATTCAATGGGAATAGATTGTCCGTCGAAAATGTTTTAGTTTGCAATCACTTCTATTTTTTATCAGTTGATAACAAAATGAGATTTGTTAATTGTGCCGCCAATATTTTTAAGAAAAAACCTAATTATATCAAATCCCTGATTACAATATTGTGGAAACCTTTTTATTTTAACTATAAATTTCAGATTATTTCAAATCGCTTCACGCTTTATTATTAAATGTAAACGAGAATATCCAATGATTTTCTTAATATTTAACGGAATCAAAGTAAACAAAAACGCACTATTCCAAAAGAATTAACAAAATCAACAAAAACACAAGAAAAAGAAAATTTTACTGACCTTCAGAAAATTGAATTTGCTTGAAATCTTCACGTTCTCTAAATTGTTTTTTAGTTTTTCGCATTAAATGGTGATATTTTTCCTGTTGCTTCTCTTTTTTCTCCTTTTCATATTGATATTGTTGTTGGTCTTTTTTATCATCGTCCTGATATTCATTTTCAGTCTTGTTGTTAAAATTGAAAAATCTTTTTTCATTTTCAATTTGCTGGTAGTCATCATTATTATATTCATTACGTTTTCTATGGTTTCGTTCTTGTTGATGTTGTTTATACTGTAGCGATTGTTGTTGCTGTGGTATTCCTTCACCATCATCAACACGTTCTAAACGTTTTTGAAATTTTTGTGCGATAAATTTTTTTCTTTGTTTGATCCTTTGTAATTGTTTTTCATTTTTTTGTAAATTTTTTACTTCATTCTTATTATAAAATTTTTTATGATTATGATGCAAACGCTGCTGTTGTTGTTGTAATTGTTGCCTTTGGTTTTTATGGTTTCTAAAACTTTTTTTTATTTGTTCATCAACATCATCAGTATCAGTATCATAATATATATCATTATCATTATTATCAATAACATCAGCATCTATATCAATGTTAATCACATCTTTGAAATTTTTTATTCTTTTCCTTTGATAAAAACCATAATCATCATCATCATCATCATCGTCATCGTCATCGTCATCATCATTATTATCAATATTATCGGTATCTTCTATTTTATCATTATTATTTAACATTTGACTATTGTCAATATTAAAATTTTTGTAATTTTTTATATGATAAAGAGTATTAGTCTCTTTTGGTTTGTAATCATTTCGTTGGTGCTGATGCAAATGTAAATGATGCCGATTATAATTATTATGTTTATAATTATTACGATATTGATTATTTGGATGATAATTATTACGATGGTGGTGATGATGATATGTTGATAAAATGAAATCATTATTATTATTATTATCATTTGGATTTAAGGAAATATTTGTGGTATTTATTAATTTATTTCTACTATTATTACTATTATTTCTAATATTAATACTATCATTATTACTATTACTATTACTATTACTATTTATTATATCGGTGTTAATATTTTGATCATCTTCATTATCATTATCATCATTATTTCTAATGAAAAACTCTCTATTCTCTTTATTTCTATTATATTTTCTTCTTTTTTCCTTATTTCTATGTGAATTTTCTAATTTATTTTTAGAAACTAAATATTTATTTTTAGGACTATTATATGATAATATTTGGGATGATTCAGATACTAATCCAGATGATTCAGATAATAATTCAATTGAATCTAAATTTTCAAATTTTTGTGATGGATTTCCTTTTTTTGTTGGAAATCGATTTAAATTGTAATTATTGTAATTACTATTACTGCTATTTTCTTCTTGATTATATTCTTCATTGAATTTTAATTTATTTTTATTATTAAATCTTCTTTTAATTCTCTTTCTTTTACCACGAAATTTTCTAGTTTTACTATGTGATTTTAAAATTGATTCTCCATTATAATTTTTAGTAATATTATTTTCAATATTTTCATTTACAATATTATTTTCTTTTTCATGCACAGCTTTTTTAGACGATAATGACGATAATTGTGTTACAGAATTTAATGAAACTGGAGATGAATAATTGTGTTGACTACTGTAAAATAAAAAACGTAAAATAGATTAAGTTAAATTTTGGCTATATACGAGTATAACAAAAATTTTGTTGTTGTTAACATTAAATATAAAATAAGAGAAGTTGGGACTGTTAGGTTTTTTTGGAGCAATGACCCAAAAATTGTTTAAGGACTTTAGTTAATCTTTTACCTGCAACATTGAATTAACATCTACACGAAAGACGCTCAAGTCATTTTCATGGTTATTATAACAATAGGACAAAATTTAAATTAAATTGAAATATTTGCCAATTCAATTAATAAAGTGGTAAGCTTTTATGTTGTGAGGACGAAACCCTATGACTTGCACTATCAACAAATTGGTCCCAAATTTTATTTCGAAAAAGTTAAATTAATTATAGCGATAATATTAGTGATTGATGTCAGACTTATCGTTTTCTAGAAATAGCCACTGAGGGTATGAACTGGAACGTTTAGGACTTGAACGTTTGGGATAGAACGTTCGAGTTCGAAACGTTCCAGCTCATAACGTAAGGGGTTATAAGTATCATCCCTCAGGACATGTACATAAAATATAAAAATTCTATCACAGAATGTTTATGAAATATGTGTACATGTTTTCTTAATAATTTCTTTTATTGCTTAAGGAAATTTTTCTAAAATTTCAATTTAAATAAAAAAATTTCTGCAATATTTTCTAAAAAACATTTCAAAAGATTTGTATAAAATTTATTTTGAAATTTATAATATTTTATTCTTTTTAATTATACCAAAGTTAAGGAAAACTTCTGGTTTTTTTCAAAAATTCAAACTAAAGTCTTAAGATGTCATTCAAGTTATTCAAAAGAAAACTTTAAAATATTTTTTCTATAAAACAAAGAATATTTTGAATTTTGTCCTTTTTATGAGATTTTTTGCAATTTTTTTGTATTTCTCATTGAAAAAATTCATTTCTATAGTTTTATTTAAAAAAACAAAGAAATTGAAATATTTTTACTTTGTTTAAAAAATAATAGATTCAAGGAATTATTATAGTTAAATTGAAAACTATATGTTTACGGCAGTTTACGAATTTCTTAAAGAAAACTCTAACACACGAGAAATTGGAAAAAAAAATTTATAATTCGGGCATATAACTCTGGCCTACATGGCTCTGAGCCACTATTTTGAATGAGAGTAATATTCATTATGTACGAGTTGGTTAAAGTGTACGTAAATTTCAACCACTCGATAAATCCAGAACTAGAAAACTTTAAAAAAAAACCCAGTTGTAAATATAAGAACGGCTATAGTACGCATTTACGTAGTTAACCGTCTTCATTAATAAAAAGTTATTGTTACACAACCACTCGCCTCTTTTATAAAATTTTACTATATAAAATTTCTTGAGCTATGCTTATTATTACCTACACTAAGGAATGAAACACTTGAAATTTAAGTCATGATATCTTAAAAACATAAAAAATATTTGATTGCCCCGTGTACATAGGTAGAGTAAATTTTAAAATACAATATGATTTTAATTTCTTAACACTCTGTATTTAAAATTATACCTTTCATTAGACTTAATTTCAATATCTGTTTTATTTTTATCCGATGATGAATCTGTAATTAAAGTTTTTTCATCAGGGGTTATTTTTGTTTTGTGATGCTCTTTATGTTCATTATCATCGTCATCATTATCATCATCATCATCTGTTGTGCTCTTCTCATTATTATTGAAATTTTCTTGTTGTTGTTGTTGTTGCGTGTAGTCTGTTGATTTCATTTGTCGATATATATTTTGTTCATTTATTTCTCGAACTTCATCACTCATTGATGGTGCATATTCTGTAAAAAGAAAAAATGTTAAAATTAGAAATAAAATAAATATCAAAAAATAGAAAATATCGGGGAAAGAGAAGGGTTTTCTCTTTTCGCTTAATAGGGACGGTATTTCATAAAATAAGGTAGGTTATGGGATGGCACGAAATTTGCAATCTGTGTGTGTGTGTATCTCAATTTCGGTAGAACCAACTTTGATGCAAGTTTAAATCTGAGTTACCTTTGGTGACATATTCAACTTGTAACATATTTCAGGCTTATTTAAAATTTGAATCAAATTCAAACAAATTCCTAAAATTCAAAATCGTCAGCAACTACGAAATTTAATCAGATTATTTAATAATCAAAATGATTATTCTACGGTATAAATTTTATTAATGCTTTGAGGTTGCATCTTTCCCCAATATAAATTCATTTGGGAATAATAAAAATTGCTTTGATCTAATGCAGCACTAAATTGACAGTTAACTTGGCCATGTACCAAACACTTTAACTATATTTGCTGGTGTTTTAATTCTTGTGGCAATTGAAATTTTGCAAATATTGTGATTAATTAATTAAAAAAAGTGAAAAATGGTTGGTGCAATAGGATCCTAGTAAAAATATTTTCAATTTAACCATACCACTTGGAATATTGTTGTCTATCAAAAAAATATTTATTTTTATATTAATTCTTTATTAAATTTGCATGTTGAACTTTAAGTGGGAAATCAAATGAAAAATTGTCTAATATAACCATAATGAAAAGCAAGGACTTTAAAAAATAATAATCACAAATCATCTTTAATCTTCTTGCCATATGAAAATCTTATTTTCATTGATCTTAAAATATTTTAAACTGAACAAAACTAATTCTGTTTTCATGAATAATTAGGTCATGGCTATGAAATATTTTCATAATCACAATTCTTTGACAATAATAAAAAAAAAATTTTAAATCCTTAACCTTTAAAAATTTTCTTTTTTTTTTTTAAACTTATTGAATCCTTAACCTTTAATAGCTTGTAATTGTGAAAGGAAAAGAGAAAATTTGATGATTTCATTTACATAACAATAGTTTAAATACTTTATAAGCAAAACAACCTCATTTTCATATTGTAAAACAATTATTAAGTAATTTTCTATAATTATAATACGATTTACATTCATGTATGTATGTATGTACATATTAAATTCATAGTTTATACAGTAATAACCTTGAATATTTTATATACGTGTATCATTAAAAAACTCATCCTATTCCGTGATGGTAAAAAAATATATTTCAATGTTTTAGGACCTTGCAGAGCACAATGTAAAAAAAAAAAAACACAAAATAACCCAACAATTTTTGCAAATGAACTCATCTTTTTCTACAATCTATACACACAATTCATATGGTATGTACAAGGAATTTTCTTTTTTTCCACTTTTTTTTTTTTTTTTTGCATTTTCCTGCCCCAAATAGAAAATAACTATCATTATACCATAATTAGATCATAATTACTGACAACTTCTATGAAAATTTATTTTATTCTTAACCTCTCTATCTCTTTTACTCATTTTCCTTATTGTATGTATTTAATATACATCGCTATATACTCTTAATTTTGTTGTTATATTTATTTATTTTCACATACATATATTGTTTGGATTCAATATACATTTGTTACATTTAATGGTCATATAATGAGTAGCCAAAAAGCAAAAAAAAAAAAAATGAGCTAAAATAAAAATAAGAAAAAAATTAAAAAGGAAAAACCAATTACTGGACCTTTTCTCATTCACACTTTCTTTACAATGTTCATCAATCGTAATTTTATTTTTAAAAGGATTTTTTAAAGATCCGAAAGTATTGTTATATTGTCAATAAAGAATTTGAAGGTTTAGAAAGGATCACAACCATATTGTAATTTTGGGATTTAAAAATAAATAAATTGGAAAATTATTAAGAAATTATGCCGCATATTTTGCCATTTTAATTCAAGTAATACAAATTAAGTAATTTAAACTTTAGGAAACCAATTTGAAATAAAATGGCAAATTAAAAACAAAAAAACGAATTAAACGTAAAGTATTTTTGAAAATTATTTCAAGTCTCGCTGTAGCTATCATTTTCTAAGAGTATCGACGTAGAAAACCGGAAACGTATTAATAGTGTAAGTTCGATTCGGGTGGTGAATATGAAAAAATTAACTGTGCTTAATACATAAGCTTTTTCAATTTTACATTCAAAATTTTTTTTTTTATAATTTCTTGAAAATTGTGTAGAATAATTTCATATCTTTCCTTATTTTACATTACCTTTCATATAAACCATATAACTAGGGCGATAAACAATGTTGCCAAGTCGGAATATTTTATTCCACAATGGAATGTTTTTCGGAACGGAAAATGCATATTTTCGAAGTGAAATAATAAAGTATACACTTCTTTTCAAAAAATTATTCTATTAAAAAATTAAATATTTTGCTTTTGGTTTGATTGGCAACTGCCATTGGTGATTTATAGTGTCTTACGAAAGATATTTATGGTTATTCAAAAGTCAACGCCATAGTAATGTTCGTAATTTGTAGAATTCTACGATTGAAATTCATGATAGCGCCGATTACATAGCCCATAGTTCAATCAAATTTCTGCTATTGCGTTAGTATTAGAAGAACTTTACCCTGGCATACTGTCGCACTACAGATTTTCCGTTTTTATAACAAATCAATCTTATAAATAACAAAAAAAAAAGTCGAATGTACAATGAAATATTTGCAAGTGGAATATTTCAGCATATTATTAGCATATTTTTCTCAGGCTATTGTGGCAACATTGACGATACTATTAACGCAATATTGTAGAACAAAAAAAAAAAAACAAAATAAAATGAGAGCATTATACAGCGCCCTAATTTCATTATCCTGATTTTTAATATTATTTTCACTTCATATTTTCTTGAGGAAAAATATGTAAGAGGGAAAAAAAAAGGAGTTGAATGAAGAGTGGCATGGTATTTCCAAAATCAAAATAAAAAAAAATTTTACCAAAAATATTAGAATTGGCATGACGTGTTGATAACCATCATTAATAATGAGCAATCGACAAAATCGGTTTACTATGGTTGCTTTTTTTTGCTGTTTGTGCTCTTCCTTTTTTATTCAAGAGAATTTTTGGTTTTTACTTAAAGTTTAAGAAATCAAAATCAATTCAAGAATTTTTTGTATTTTTAATTTTTTTTTTTTTATTTATTTTTATCTAGTGTTGTTTTGAATCCTTTCAGGATACAACAAATATCTTTTCTTTTAATTTTTTTTTCTTTTTTTATTTTTATAGACACAAGATTTTTGTTTTCAAATGTTTAACAACATAACAACACCATAGCAAATAATAATGTAAACCAAAAATGAAAAAATAGAGAATAAGAACTGAAAAGCACAACTTAAAACGTAAATATGTGGGATAAACAGCTATTATCCTTATTTTCTTCCCTTTTAAGTATAGAATAAGTTATGATCCCTTTTCAATCAAACAACAAAAAAAGGATATACTTAATATTTATCTATTTGATGAGAAAATGAAAAAGTTTTCGCTCCAATTTCTGAATTTTTATTTTTATACCTTCTCTTCAAATCATCTTGATTTTTACTGAGAACGAAAATAAAAAAAAACAAAACGAAAATGAGAGAGAGAGAGGGAAAAAAAATGAATTCCTTAAGAAATGAGTGAGCAAATTTATTCTTTCTTTTGTTTTTTTTTTATTATTTACTTATTTTTTTTTCTCATTTTGCTGTTGTTATTCTACTTTTTAACTTTAAAGGATTTTTCACTTTGATTTAGAATTTTCTGGTATTTTTCTAATGATTAAAAATGAAATTGAACAAAGCAAGTAAAACTGTTTTGAAAATTAACTATAACAAAAAATATTTTTTAACAATTTGTCAGTCTTTCTGTTTGGGATATTCCTAAACGTTATGTTTGATTTATGACTAGCCCATTCTAGAGAGTTATTGTTTTTCTTTATTCTGTATTGATTGTTGATCTTATCGCCAATAAAAATATGAAATTAGAATTCTCATTTTTTTATTAGCTTTGAGATTGTTCTCAATTAAATTCTCATTTTCTCTCAGAAGAAGAAATTAATTACCGAGATGAAAAATTTCAGAGAAATGAAACTATACTAGAATACTAGAATAGAATGAACTAATTTAAAATTTTTTTCCTTTAAAGAGAAACGATTTTTTTTTGTGAAGAGTGTACATTTTACGGCTCGTAATAACAGCGATCATAGTATAGTAGTGACTGTTACAAACTCTCCAAAAGAATAAAAAACTCGTGTATATTCTTATATATTCTAAAAACTTGTGTTTTCAGAAGAGATGAAAATTTGAATTATCAAAAATAAAACGATTTAAGAAAGAATGGGCATACGATTTCGAATTGGAATTGGAAAATTTGAATTGGAAAATTGGAATTGGAAAATTGGAATTGGAAAGAAAAATTATATTTATGGAATTTCTTTATGGAATTTTCTAAATTTTGATGAAATTGTTTAAAATATTGAAATTAACTATGCATTATTATTATTAGAGGGCGTCTACCAAATTGATGTAAACTCGATAAACTTTGAAGAATAAATTTTTAGAATGCGCTGTTGAGTCTAAAGGAAAAAAATTACGTTAAGAATTCGTATATAATAATAAAATTATAAAACCTTCACCGAAATCTTTACTAAAATCCTTAGCCACGGCGCAACGAAGATTTGCTGTCAAAAATTTGGAACGTTATTTTGGTATGACGCCCTTAATTAATCATATTTTTTTTCCAAATAATTTTTTTTATATTGTGTATGCCACATTCTTTCAATTTTAGTTATTTTTCAACGTTTCAGCAAAATACAATAGAAAATTTAGAATATTAGAATAAAAAAAATAGAAATATAGTTCCATAATTTTAAAATTTTTTGAAATTTTAACACATGTCGAAAACATTAATGTTCAATTACAAAATAATCAATTCTCATAACATTTTTATTTTAT